GCGGCGCGGCGCGAGCTAGGTCTATTAAACGCGAAATAAATATAGCGAGAGACACCGCGCGGGCTTCTTGGGTGCCTCGGCCGCCTCGGCGTGACACTCGGCGAATGATGTTACATGCAAATGATGTTCCGCGAGCGATTGAATTCGTGACGAAAATATCCCGGTACATTGTACACCCTTTATAGCCGCGTTCCCACCCCGGGGGGGAAAATAATTAGATACTCGTAATAATTTCTCAACGCGAGGCAATTTCAATTACCGAGCTTGTGCTAGATTGAACATCCTCCGCAGCATCTGAATTTTTGTCACGAAATTATATATATAGGTACATTCGTGTAATAGGTACACGAAGTGCTTTATATACGTATATATACGCGCTCCACGCGTGGGCTAGACGCGTTTCTCGAGGACGACGAGAACAAGCCTCTTCTATTCGTTGACCCGGGAAGGAAGACCTTTCTACCTTCGAGCGCTGTGGCATATCTCGCGGGGACGTCCGGTTAAATCGCGCGCGATCGAAATTTTCCCGTTCACCTCAGGCCTTACGCGGCTTAATTACATGCGCCTCCGCTCTTCCTCTCGGCTAACTGTTCAGTAAGAGCATCGTGCAACGAGGAGGTCTATTCTCCGTCCACCGTTTTTCCATCTCGTCTTCTCAAATCTCATCTGTCGCACCGTACCCGAATTCCGTTGCAGGTTTCGGTCGTACTCTGATTATATTCATTTCTGTCTTCGCGAAGGCATTTTAGTTTACTTATCTAATTTGTCGAAAAATAATGGTTTATGTATATAAAAAATACGGTAAGAATGAAATTTCAAGGGAACTATTCATTTAAACGTTGAGTTATATAGAAGTAAATAAATCAAATGAATTAAAAGTAAAATTAATTAAATTAAATTAAATTAAAGTAAGAAGCATTAAATTATTATGTAAATTATAAACAAAAAATAATTAAGTGTATTAAATTATTAAAATAATTAAATTATAAAAGTAAAAGTTATTGAAGCACGAAGCAAATTGTAATAGGCTTAGATTAGGCTGGAATATTAAATTATAATTTTAAATTACGTAAAAAGGATAACGGTGCAGCGTTATGTTGTAAGCTGTAGGATTAAAGGCGACGCGATCGCCGATACTGACACATGTATTCATACGGCGACGTTAAAGTCTTCTCTCCTTCGTGTTCTCTTTATCGGTTCATTCGATTTGTCAGTCTGGCGTCATATTTCCGCGGGGATAATCGCGTTATAATTGTAATGCCGCGAGGAGAGAAGAGCGCTAACGCAGCCAGACTTGCCCGAGTGCCAAGAGTTATCCTTATCTAACACTTTCTCTCCTTTCCAATACTGTCGTCAGTATCCGAATGCCGGTCGAGCGCTCATCTCACGCCGCGTATTAAATAAAATCACCTTTACGAATTTTCGGTTAAACCAATATACCAGGCTAATTGCGTAATGCGCGCCGTGCATCTCCCCGAGTCTATAACCGCGTTGATTTCTTATTTATTGCGGTACTATATCAGAGAACTCTATCAGATAATTTTACGATGACTCTCTCTTTCTCTTTCTCTCTCTTCCTTTCTCTCTCTGTTTTTCTGTATGATATCTTATATATGATATCTTACGAAATTTTTATATTAGGAAAAGATATGGAGAGAAAGGGAGAGCTGCTATAAAAATAAAAATTATTATAAATTGATTTACGTTAGAAATTAAATATAATATTGCATCATTAAACTGCGATATACTCGCTCTTTTAACTGCGGGATACATTAAAATATTGATCTATAGATGCGCAGATAATCGTCTGGGTAACGTTAACGGCGCCAAGGCGAGTTTCTTTCTATCGAGAAGGAAAGAGATTCTTACGCTCGAGAGAAAGAGAGAGATTCCACCTGTTCTTTAAAACTTCCGTAAACTCAGAGAAACGGAAGCACCTCGAGCCCACTTCCTGGGAACTCGATATCACGCTCGGGAGCCTCGTCGTATTACGATTAATCGGCGCAATCATCGCGTAATTCTCACGTATGCTGATGTAATCTTAAACAGCCGATGCGACATGATTCGTCCTTTAATGGATGAAGTAATTGGTGCGCAACATCGAGTTCTTAATATCTACCATTGCTCACGCCGTAGTCTTCTCGAGGTGAACAGTTAATATTCTTTCGCTCCTCAATATTTTTACTGCACTGTAAAATATACACACATATATGTCATACAAGATATTTAAACACACAAGGATAAATTCAATGTGATTATCATTGAGCATAAAAACTGATGTCCATTTAAACACTATAGAATTTATATAAAAATATAAATATATAAAATATAATTATATTTTATTTTATTTCTTCTTAAAAAATATATACAATAAAATTGATTGAGAGGATTATCAATCTCCATATGCCTAATCTCGTGTCCATAAAATTCTATCGATTCTAGACTTAATTCTAGAATTAAAATGGCTCTACAAATATACACACAATAATTGATAACAATTGAGACTGAACTTTATATCAGTATCTGATTTTATATCAGTATTTCATTTTTCAATTAAAATAAAAAAATATTTTTAAAATTTAAGATAACAATGTAAGAATAATCGCGTACAATGCTCTTGCGCCGCGACAGGCTGTGTTAGGTGTTAATTTGTTTCACGCAAGCGAATGGAATTCGCTCGCTCACATAAAGTCTGAGCGCTGCAATGTTTATCAGTCGGATGGACCATCGTATACGTGGGGTATATCGTGAGAAACGGCGTGTTGTATAATAGCGCCGTACCGATCCTCGCTATAACAGACGGATATAAACCGTAGGCCGAAGCGGTGGCGGGGCGTTATATACTTTCCAGGAAGTATCCAAGGCGGAAGGGGTACGTGGTCACCGGGGTCAGGAAAATCGATACGTGCGCAAGAAGCTGCATCACGACTCTGCATCTTCGTTCGGTACAACCGACACCGCGCGATTTCTTCCGGTAAGAAATATCTCTCCCAATTCATCACCTGGCGAGTTAGACCTCTGTTTGCATTTAAGTTTAAGTTTCCGGCATGAAGGATAATTTTTTGGAGTGACGGGAAGAGGGGGGGGGGCGGCGGGTGGACGGTAAAATTATATAATGTATTAATGATATTTCGTAGCATGTAACGTCGTCAATAAGTCTTTTTATCCAATGTAAATAACTTGTTAGAGATGCTCCCAGATACGCGCTGAAAGAAAATGTTTGAATCTCGAAAGGCGCGAGCCCAAGCGCCGACGAAGTTAGAAAATCGCGTGCAACCGTGAACTCCCACGCTGACGCGAAGTTAGAAAACAGCGGGTCTGAAGAAAGGGGGAAAAAAGAAGGAATCTCCCGCGGGTGACATAACGTATTGTGAACGGCGATCGAAGCGAAATCGTTGGCGCCAGTAGCATACCGGGAAGTGAGGAGAAGATGCGTCAATAATAGACGAAACCGGTGGAGTATACTGAAAAGCTGTGGGAGCGCGGTGCCAAGCATCATCGACGGTGGTAGGAATGTTTCTATGGCCGAAGAAAGTTAAGAATTTTCACCTCCTAGAGAAAGCACACCGCATGACGCATGTAGATATTACGCCACGTAGAATGAATTTCCCCCCTTGCCTCGACGGCCTTCGATCCGCCGGATCGGCGGCGCGCGTACATCGCCAGGACAATACAATCTTCTCTCACTGGGTCGTCACCTATCGTCGCGTTGAAACTTCCTTCTCTTTATCTATCTTCCATTCTCTATCCTTTTGTACAACAATAATTATAACGATAATAATACTTTATTTATATTTACAGACGAGGCGCAAGCAAAGCTATTGCTATAATGCCTTCCTGTAATAAAAGCAAGAAGATCACAAAGCGCAAGGTGGATAAATTGTGTAAAATAAAAAGACGATGAACAGAAAAAAAAACAAATCGCAGAACAGAAGATTAATCAGGTGGAACGCAAGCAGAAATCAAATGAGAATATATATATGTATACAATATTGATTGGATCTATAAAAAAATTCCTCTTATTTCCCTCATCATTATTAATTCTATACTATTCGTTTCCAAGCTGTTCGAAAATTGTGATGCACACAACGTACTATGCAAATTCGAGATTGTACATCTTTTCGAAGAAAGCGCGCCCGCTTCTCTCATCTCTTCATCCAATCAAAATTCCAATACATATACCGCTCACCTGTGTGCGCGGAGTGTCATTCACTCTTACAACGCTAATGTAACTTGCAATTAAGTCAGTTAATGAATACAATTTATACTTGAAAAATACGTGATCCAAATAACATATTTTCATTTAGGCTTGATTCGAATGCTTCTGTAGTAAAACAAATAAACAATAAAATAAACTAATTAAAAAGAAATAATAAGCCATCTCGAGAATTGTCAAAATCATTTTCGATTGCATTTAAATCGCGTCTTAGAATTTTCGCTTGTACCTCTTTGCATTCTCGGGTCCACGAAATTACGAAAGAGCGATCCACGGAAACGATCCGCGCAGAAATGCGTAGTAGCGTAAATCGCGATAGGCACAGTCGGTCGCATCACCTTATGTTCGAGGCACCCAAGAGTCGCACGACTCTTACGCAATACGGTGGATTGCAGGCGTAGAGCGATTACGTAGTAAGCAAGCAAATTTCACACTCGGACAGGTGGCCGAAATGTACAATAGCACAGAGAAATGGGTTCCTATAACTGGTATCTCTGCAATACCGTAAAGAAATTTCGCACGTAAAAACACTGCTAATAGAAGTAAATTGACGAGACATATCGTATGAATATTGCAATCAAAATGACGGCGAATAAATTGTACTGAAGAAACTGCAATAACTATGAAATATATATTTACATAAAACATGATTTTATTCTTTACAACAATTAATGTGATCGAGTAATTAAAATGATCGAGAAACAATACATAATTTTTCAGAAAAAATAAATAATAAAAAGTAATAAATTAATAAAAAGTAATAAACAATTAAAATTATATAGATTATATACATTTTTGCCATATATTTTATTTGTACTTTGGTATTGATGTAATTACCGCAGTTGCCGTAATTTTGAGAATGTCATATTTATAGTTGTAAATTTTTTTACCCTTCAAAAATTAATCAATTCTACCTACATATTTACTTATAGTTTAAATCCTGAGTGAATAGCGACTATACCAAACGTAAGATTTTGATAAGTCACATTTCTAAATCCTGCGAATTCGATCATATTCTGAAAATATAACAAAAAGCATAAAGTAAAAATAAGTATATATATATATATATATACGTATATATTAAGAGATCTTTGTAAACTTCTCTTAATATTACAATATTTTTTATTTATTTGAATAATTCTATGATTACCCATACATTAAGCTCTTTTTTATTATGCTATATTTGATATATATATATATATATATATATATATATATATAAATCAGAAACTACATTAGCAAATTTTTAAACATAATATAATAAAAAAAGAACTTGATATATGAGTAATCATATAATTATGCAAACGAAAGATAATATTAAGAGAGGTTTTCAAAAATTTCTTAATGTTATTGCAGTTTATGTATATAAATAATAAAATAGATATTGAAAAATTTACTTTGAAATCCTCCTGTTTTGGAAATTTTCTTATACTTTCTACAAGATATTGATAAGATTTCCATTGTCCTGCAATCAGTTGCCCCATTACAGGTATTATTTGAAAAGAATACTGATCGTACAACCTGAAACAGATATCGAATGAAATTTTACTGCACTGTATGTGTAATATAAATTTTTTTATAAGCTTTTGATTTTAAAGCATACATACCATTGTAAAGGCTTATTTTCGATATGGCTAAATTCTAGACATAAAAATCTACCTCCTGGCTGCAATACTCTGTATGCTTCGGACAATACCTACGACGTAAAAATTAACAGATAGATTAGATATGTTTTAGATACGATTAGACACGTTTAATATAAATTTAACATTAAAATACTTTTTTTTTAACTTTTAGCTTACAATATGCAGGTATTCTTTAGAGGTTAATAAATATAAATCTTCCATACTGTACTTTGGTATCTTTATGGACTTTATGCAAATAACTAATCGAGGAATAAATATATTCTAAGGCACCTTATCAATATGCGTCATATTCCTTATTCCAAACGCTACGGTATAGGCCGAGAAAGAATTGTCTGGAAAGGAAAGCTTCTCCGCATCTTCTTGCTTCCACGTAATATCGCAATTACTGTCTCGCGATAAGCCTAATCTACTTGTTCGGTTTTTCCCAACATCTAGCATATGCTGATTTATGTCGCACACAGTTACGTGGCTACGTATATTATGCGGATTTGGCGTGTTCCTCAGAAAATTAATATATCGAAATGTGATGTCGCCCGTGCCGCCGGCAGAATCCAGGAGATGGGTACCATGAGTAGGTCCTAATTCTTGTACAAAAATATCTTTCCAGATGCGATGTATCCCCATACTCATCGTGTCGTTCATCAAGTCGTAAGAATCGGCAACATTTTCAAATACGGTGTACACTGCAACAGATATTCTCGAATTCATTCTGGCGTTGCGCATCCAATATTCTTTCATGTTAAAATCAATTGGGAAGATATAAATGTTGCTACAAATGTTGTCTACCATCCACTGTAGCAGCTACTAATATTTCGTAATAGATAATGAAAGAGATAAGCATTTGAACAAAAATATTAATTAGAAGCCTTACCTTCCTTCGCCTTCTCGCTCTCCTTAACCGTTTGGAAGCCAAAGTGCGTCGTCCTCTCGTCATCCTCCGAAGACGTGCTCGCCGTTTTCGTATAACCGCGTCTGGCTACAGCGACTCTTGAACATCTGTCCAATATCCGACTTTCTTTAATAATATTCGCGCAAAGACTCTTATAGGCCATCGTAACCATGCGTGCACCGGCAGACGAGTTGACGACTCGCGTAGGTGTGATCTGCAGGTAAACAGTAAACATATTGTAATAAAAGTCGCTTCACAGGAAACGATCGCGCACGTAGCCGCGGAGCAATTTTCTACGCACGTCGCGAAAAACTTACTCCGAAACGCGAAAGCCTGCACGCGAAAGCTGGGGCAATCCGGCTTTCAACGCGTATGCAAAGCTGGGAGCAATCCCACTTCTGAACTGTAATAAAAATACTAATACTTTCTATTTCTCTAGTCTTTGTACACGAGTCTTCTTCCTCCAAGCCTTTGATTGGAAACTCGTGATCGGAAACTCGTATTATAATCGGGATAGGATGACGGACGAACGGTTTAGAAAGACTTTCACTGTTCTTTTAACGTATTCTGTTTTATTTCGATACTTCAGAAAATAATTCGCGAAATGGTCGAGCTAATACTACCGCACGAAGCACACGTGTGCTCTCCGGTCTCGTATCGCCGCTAGCTCGATCGTTTCGCGACTCATGTTCTTGAAGTATCGTACTGAAGTATAAACCGGTTCGTCCATCATCCTATCCCGATTAATACGATCACGCGATCAAAGGCTTGGAGGAAGAAGACTCCGTACTATAAGACCGGACTAAAGAAATAGAAATTATTAGTACCTTACATTTATGATGCCTGACCCAGCCCGACCATGCCTGTCAGTTGTCACTGACGACACTGACACTGGAAAACACTGGTGTGGAGTCTGGACTCTGGAGTACTGGACTCGTGTCTCACTTGCACTTTCTACACTCGGAACTGTCCCTTTTTTTCTTTCTCCGATGACGAAGAGTATACATCCATCTCGTTTCAAGAGGGGGGGGGGACGGATGGCGTTGCGAAGTGCAAATGAGACAAACAAATCTATGGCAGTCGACACGTGCTACCGAAAGAAAACATGGGTAGTCGGATGGTCACGCGATCATGGATATAAATGTATGCTCATGCGTGGCATTGTCCGCATTGTATCTCTTTCTTCCTCTGGGTGGCTCTGGACCCTACATTCGGAGCAATCCGGAGTGAACGTGCGGCCAATCGTACGGTGCACAAGTGCTTAAACACACCCGGTAGATTTCGTCAAAATCGTGCAAAAAATTTTGTAATGATGTAATACTCGGAGCGGAAGCGGAACCCGGCCGAATCGTCAAACCATACATTGTGACTATTACGTATGTGTGTTCTTGTTGAATAGCAATATCTCCAACATAATTGCTGGGTCTCTTATATACAGATTAGCGATAACAGTATAACGCTTATTCTCGTTCTGCGAAACAGATCTTGGCGGGCGATCGCAGGGGGGTGATTTGTCCAGTCCGGCCGGTCTGGCGGTTTTTGGCTACCTTTAGGAATGCCACTGTAACTGCATATCGATATTTTCAAGTAGTACGTCCTACCGCTTCTGCGCTTCACTTTAATCCCCTCGTATTCTCGGTAAGCGAACACTTGGAGGCGAAAAGGAATCAGAATTATGGTGCGTACGAATATTCACCGATTCAAATTTGCAATTATAATTTGCTTTAGTGACACGGTGCTTTACAGCGTTTGCCAAGTGGCTTTACGCGTCGCTCGCATGTGCGAATAAAAAAAAAGAGATCGGTCAGAGCTATACATCGTCTACGTCCACACGCGTTTTCTATAATTATGTATGAAATTAGTACGAAATCTAGTAGAAGTGAAATCTTTTTATGTGTAAGAGAAGATATTTAAAGACTGTTGCAAAAATCTACTATTAATAATATATTTTTTATACTACTTTATTGCGCGCGGATGTCATTAGAAACAGTAGTAAATTTAGAAACATATAATAAATTTTATGTTATTCAATATATATCATATATTATTATGTGATTTTAGGCATAATTGCAGACTGATTTTTATGTTTATATTTAGATTGGAGACCACTTACTTTCCCTTTGTACGATCTTATCTCAAGAAGTATATTTTCATTATGGAACAATTTGAGATAAAACTTTCCCCAGGTGTGTTTACCATATGTGTTTTTTTTTCATAGGAAACAAATCTTATCTTTTTCAGATTTAAAGTGGCAGAAATTCCTGTTCGTAAAATAGCAAGTATTTTAAACAATTATTGGCTATTTTTATGAAAAAAATATGCTGTTAACATTTCTTTACATGATAGCCACCATTATGCAAGCACGGAGGATATCACTTTTAAAAGCACACTTAAAAGCTATCTTTAAGGGAGACAAGACTCATCCTTCTATTGTGCTTAGGATTAAGATACCGCAACATCTAAAAGGTAACATATAATACACATACGTCATAAAATTTATTATATAATTACACAATACTATTATATAATTAACGAGTAATGTTATTTTTTCTTTTTATATATATATATATATATATAAAGTGGTCTATGAATACTATAAATAATATTGTAATAATAGAAAGAATTTCATATTATCATAAAATTCATTTCATGATTTTATATACGTTGAGATTTTCAAATTTATTTTTATTAAAGACAATATATATTAAATAAATAGGTATTGAAAACATATATATATATATATATATATATATATATATATGTGTGTGTGTGTGTGGGTGTGTATATGTATATATCTTGTAATGATTTCCAGATTTCGATACGGGATACACGGATAAACGTTTTTTGGCGATAAGTTCTCACTTATGTATTAATAAGCACCTAGCGAAAATTGATGACCTAGTATGGTATCAAGAAGATGCGATATTATATACTATATACCCTCAAGTATGTATAATACAAATATTTTATACTTACATCTGTAAAAACGTAACAACAAGACTGACAACAATTACTTTATTAGCAAAAAGTTTTTGTATTCGACTGGTTGAGCTGTCCAGACAGAAAGTTTCCCCTGTATACAAATAATTGCTATCAGATTTCAAGCAAGTCTGATCTCAAGATGCATATTCTCGTCGATCTTGATATTGAAACTTATACACCTTGGGCCTCAACAATCTCTGCAAAGGTACAAGTTTTTTAATTATTATACATTCTGTGTTTTATTGTTATAATTAAGCCTTGAAACTATATTATTATCTTTTGAAAAATTTAACTTATTATGTTCTATTTATATGCATTGTTTGACAGATTGAGGACTATGGTCTAATCGTGGCGTGGACGTCAACATTTTCAAGCATAAGCTTTATTTTAGAAACAGATATAGAACATGTTACGAGCTTAATAACTGGGCTCCTGCAAGGACAATATCGCGTTAATTATGGCTTATGTGTATCACGTGTTCAAAGTATGTATTACTTTTGCGTCTCAAAACGTAATATATTTCGATAACTTGATATCTATTTGTTTCATTTTTCTTTATTTCTTTTTTCAGCTGTTTTGATAGAGGGAAAGCCATATATTTACGATGACACCAGGTGTCTCGAGCCACCGTCAGACATGAGCAAGTTATAATAATTTTACTCTTGTATTTATTATAACACATCTTTTAATGTGTACTGATTGTGTCATTCATTTTGTAGGACTTTTTCAGGCAATGTGCGAAGAGACTCAACTGACTTCCAGCAAATGTAAGTTTGCAAAGTTTGTTAAAGTACGTGGTATGAGTGTACGGTTACCCGACGTGGATCCCTCCGAGATGGACGAAAAAAGTATGAAAAACATTGTATATCAATATTATGCATAATTGCTTGGAAAAATTTTATAAATATATTTTTAATTTTATATCTTTTAGATGTTAAATCTAACTCCGCGCCAGCAACATGTAGTTCGTCACCGACTAAGCATGTAAAATTTATAAAATATCCACAAAGCTTAAAAACAATACCAAGAGATGATATGGGCGATGACACCTTTGGAGGATACAATAAACATGATTCACCTAAAATGTATTTACCTGACGTCACAAAGAAGGAAGACAATTCGAGTGAAGAATCGAAAAATACTGATCAAAGCAAGTCAATTAGACAAACCACTTCCAAGTGAGTATAATATTTGAAAACAAGTATAATATTTAAAAATAAGTGATACATAAGAGATATGATTACTACATTTATGTAACGAATAAAATAATTTTTATTAATCATACTAATTTACAGAAATTCTGAATTGGAATTAAAAGAAAAGCCTAGTAAGGTGGTTAAACCACCAAATATACTCGTCTGTGCAGATACTCGAGGCGCGACCGACAATTTACAGAATTTGTTATCAAAAGTGCTGGCGCCAGATAGGTATGTCATGCTAAGTTTTATTATATTAGAATCTTTAAGTTCTAATAAATTGTTAAAACATGGTATATAAGTTTTAACGATTTGCTTCTGCAGATAATTTAGTATCTATTTCAGTCATAGTTGGTTATAAATTATTAAAATAATTGATTTATTTTTTTTTTATAGATATGATATCCGTGTATTTTATAAAGAGGACTATGATGATACTTGCAAAGTTTGGATAGATCAGGTTTCTTTAGTTGTTCTTAGTGGTAACGTTCGTGCAGAGCTCGGTGCCCAGCTCGTAGAGTATATTATACATGGAGGTAAACTCCTAGCGTTATGCTCCGACATGCTGCATATTTTGCTACCAACGTTCCAGACTGCGGAAGTGCGTGAAAATGAACTTGTCCAATTTTCGTACGGTAAATGGAAACAAGTGCGTATGATGCATCACATCTTTTGCTACCATGCGTCTCCTGTGCGAACTCGTTTTTCTCAAGATCAGGAAGATACAAGGTAATAACTTGTGTTAAATCAAATAAAATATTGCATTTATACACTTGTATTACATTATATTTTACTGCAAGAAGAAAAGAGAAAAGTAGTGTTAGATCAAAATAAATATGGAAGAAAATATCGTAATTGTATATTCGAAATGTTACTTTTCCAGGACGCCTCCATTGAATCCTCCGACGTCAACTAGTGTTAAGGATAAAAGGGGAAATTTACATTCGTTTGATGTGAAAGTATTGGGCAAAGAAGAAACGTGGCACAGTCCGAGCATATTGCTTGCAACTCTGCCTAGTAGCGGTGGTAAAGTGGTGTTTTCCCAAATCCACTTGGAGGTAGATCCAACGCAGTATGAGTACGAGGGGGATAAATTCAACGAGTTGAAAAAGAGTAATGTTGCACGTTTGGAGATAATCAGCGATCTGTTGAGCACACATTTAGGACTAGAGATAAATCGTGATACAAGTCGAGTATCAGATAAAGCATCTGTGCAGTACACGCCAGGTTACTTTTTAGGCAAATTTGAGGTACATTAATAAATATATTTAAGAATGAATCCTGATAACAATAATGATCTCAATTATGGTACAATTAGCAAGAAAATGCTATGATTTTTTTTTTTTTTAATAACTATACAGTGTGCTTCGTTATACATTTGTAGATGAAGATGAAGATGTTTGAAAAATTGAAGGATAAAATGAATGAAAAGAACACATTAACCGTGTCAACAGATATGCAAATTCAATTTTGTGCAAATAACGAAAATGTGTGCTCACCATCTGCTAATCTTCTCCCTATTATGATGCATATGTGCCCGCCTAATTTCTCGACTGTAGATTATTTTGAGGTAAATTCTCTTACACACCTGGATCATATTAATTATGCGTGCTTATCTTCTAATATATTAGCAGTAAGTGTATTTACATATTTAGAGACTTAACGCACTATATGTAATTTTAACATATAATTAAATGAGCTTTAAAAGAAGGAATAATTTTCATCAAATTTCCATAATAAATTTCCATAATAAATTCGAAATTTATTTCCAGAATCTCTCTACAAAGGAATTGGGCCGTTTAGTGATATACACGGATGTCTTAACATCCTCTATGAATGTGATTAATAACACCCAATTAGAACACGGACTGACTGTCATTCCACGGCAGCAAACATCCGGACGAGGTATTATTTTTTTATTTTTGATTATATGGACAAATAATTTATCGGATGCGTTATTTTCAGGGCGATACAATAATAACTGGCTCAGTCCAATAGGCTGTGCGATGTTTACTTTACAAGTACATATTCCTGTAAAATCGAATCTCGGTCCTTATATCTCGCTTCTTCAACATATTGCTGCTGTAGCACTTGTATCAGCTGTAAGGTCTATTAAAGGATATGAGGTATTTTAAATATTTCCCTATTGAAACTAATATCTTGATCTCTATAAAAATCCTAAATTTTTATATACAATACGACCTTTTGTGAAATTAATCGTTAATAATTAATAATTAATTAATCTTATAGGATATTGATCTCAGAATAAAATGGCCTAATGACATATACATTGGGAATTCAATCAAGATTGCCGGTATAATCGTTTCAACGCGATTGCAGGAAGCAATAATAATTGGCAATATCGGTATGTTTTAATAGTCACAAATAAAATATAAATTTTATGAATAATTTATAATAATTTAACTTATTCAAAATGAATGCAAATACATATATATTTCAGGTGCTGGTGTAAATCTTTCCAATAGTAAACCCACAAGTTGCATTAATGATGTAATTCTGCAATATAATCAAAAACACGGTACAAAGTTGAAGACGTTGTCTCATGAAAAGTACTTAGCATTGGTATTCAATGAAATGGAAACTTTATTAGATATTCTACAGAACGGCAACACAGAGCACTTCTACCAACTCTATTATAAATATTGGTTGCACACGTAAATAATCGTACATTAAATAATTTCACTTTTTTTATATTCATATCGTAATATTTTACAGTATCCACACATACATACATATATATATATATTTTTTTTTTTTAGGAATGCAAATGTGACGGTAACGTGGACAAATGGAAGAAGAGAAAATGTTACGATAATAGGTATCGATGAGTACGGATATTTATTGGTGAAAGGAAAAAAGGAAAAGTTATTTTCTGTACATTCAGATGGAAATAGTTTCGATCTTTTCAATGGGCTAATAGTACCAAAATAAAGAATTGTATATTCGTTAATTGTTGTCGGGAATTATATCTACATGTTGAAACGTGAATAATAAATATGTGTACATATAACGTACAGTTATATTAGTACGTTGTATCATATATGTATCATATATTACATACATATATATATATTCATCGGAGTCCTCAGTCTTTCGTCAGAGACATGGTGAATCCTTTTTTGCATATAGTATAGTTTATGTAGATATATGGGACCTACAATTTTTAACGCATTCCGAATGACCTATTAGAGGAAGTTCTCATGATAAAGGTATTCTCAATGGTTTAATTGCCATTGCCTTCAGAGGTATCATATACATATATAATATAAAGTTTCATATATGTATGTATGTATATATAAGTGTATGTACATATGTATAAAACTTCATATTGTATATGTATATTATATGAATATGTATGTATATACCTGTAATATATGATACGAAATTATACAAATATATATATTATATATATATTTGTTCAATGCGTTGTATCGAAATACATACATTTGTTATGTTTGACGGCTTTAGAGAAATAATTTTTTTTTTACATAAAATTTGATTATCTTGTTCGATGCTCTATATGCTTTATACGCGTATTTTATATGCGGAATGGAGTAATTAATATGTAAAAAAAAACTTGTGATATTTTAGTTAAATAATTTTAATTTTTTCTACTGAAATTTCGAATGATATGAATATATGAATATGTCAACGATTTTTGACTACATATGTTGTCTATTTCATAAAAGTATAAGTATAAAGTTTCATAAAAATTAAAAGTCTATTTCATAAAAATTTTTCTGGAATAGATTTGCGTTTTCACTAATAGAAGTAAAATCATGAAATGATGAAATCAATATACGGGATAAAAATACATTAGGATGTAACAAGATACATATTGTTAAACAATATATACCTATAATTAACTTAATATTATAAGAAATATCATATATAATATATATTTATGCAATTACAATGCTATTCAAAAAATTGTATATCATAACAATATTCACCTTGTTGCTGATGATAAACCAGATTGACATATGATATAAATGATTCACGGTGTACATTTTTTTTACAAATTACATAGTAAATCATTTACATCACGAATTGTTAAGCTGATTCATCACTGACTGCAATGTGAAAGATATAACCCTAGTCGCAATATGACCAGATAGTAAAATATTGAAGAAAAAATTTTTTCCCTATTTCATTCAAATAAAGATGAATGTACAAATTTAATACTCTAAATCTATTGCACGCTTACTTCTATCTAATTACATACAGTGTTATCATAATTTAAGTGTGCAGATAGATTGACGGAGTAGATAAAATACATTTTTAATTAAATTCATATAAATTATCTCTGTATATGTTTTTCATCTTATGCATATCGAATTTATAATCTCAAGTTGGCTATTCGCAGCAGCAATGTTTAATTAAATAAAACGGAATTCGGATCCTCATTGTCGAGCTGCTTTACATGCCTCAGAACATCTTTCTTTGTAATTACACCTAGTAGTCGCCTGCACGAAAAACCTCGATATTAGATTAAAAAACAAAAACTCAAAAATTATATCCAATACAGAGTGTTCTACATACGTACCCGTTATGTGTAACTAGAGTTTGACGTAATCCCAATTTTCGGAACATATCGACTACAGTTTCCATGGGAGTTTGGTCTGTGATAGTGATGGGAGCCATATCCAATATCTTTTTTAACTTCAGGGGCGGAGGTGAATGACTTTGGATATTGTTTCCGTTAGTAAAGATAACTAACGATTGCCTGCTAATATCCTCGATCATTCTCTTGGCATTAGCAATGGCAAGATTGAGGTCTCGTCGTAAGACAAAACCAACGAGATATTGAGATTCCTTAGAGACTATTACAGGAAAGCCATTATGCTCCGTTTCTTTAAGCAAATTCTCTACATCCTCGACTGTCATCGAGTCTTGAGTAAGAACATGAAGAGCTTCGTTTCGTCTAAAATTAACGAGAGTATATTTACATACACGTGTGTAGTATGCACAATCTTAAAACATACGCAAACATATATATGTATATATACATATATATATACATATCATTTTCGCTTACTTGGGTTGCATGACATCCGCTGCCAGAGTTGTATGTTGGAACTCGTCCTTACTGTCCAGGAACGGATATCCATTCAAGCCGATATGAGCATCGTAAATACCCTGCTTCCCGAGGGCATCGCCGACCCATTTACTCGCCATGGCCGCGGCCATTAAAGGTACGATATACCGTACGCCGCCTGTTAATTCAAACATAATGACGACCAAAGAGACCGTCATTCTGGTCACGCCCCCGAGAACAGCAGCAGCCCCGACCATCGCGTACAGTCCAGGTGTTATACAGTCAACACCCATGGAGCACTCCTCGCTGAACATCCATATGTGAGGATAATTGTAAGCAAGTTGTTCCATCCCTATTCCCACGATACGGCCCATTATCGCTCCCAGGCAGAGGGAGGGAATAAACAAACCGCATGGAACTTTCATGCCGAACGTGAATATCGTCATGATGAGTTTTAGTATCAGCGCCAGCACGAGCAGCCATATAGCTTTGTAGACCCCGGGACCAGCTGCCGCGATCTCGATTGCAGATTTCACAGCGGTGAAGTTTCTGTTGTAATCACTGTTGAACAGAGAATTTCTCGAATAATTTAAACACCTTCAACAACATGCCAGTTTTACATGCCGATAACTATCAGTCAATTTGTGAAATTTGCGTATTTATAGTAAAGCAATTTATAGTAAAGTTACACGATATAAAATAAATCTTTTTGATATTTACTAACCATAACATATCCGCGTTCGATACTCCACACTGGCTAAACAACAGGTAAATGAGTTGACTGGTGTTCATCCTTGTGTACGGATTAGGATATCCAATTACTGCTGTTACCACTGTTACGATTAATACTTCAGTAACGGGATATTGTCCCAATTTGGAAGTTTTCCGATATCGGCACCAGAATAAATTGGCTTTGATAAATAACGTTGCTATTACTCCCTATCGAAAATTTGCTTTTATAAATATACGCTTTTGACAAATTTAATAATACGTAATAGTAATGAAAATTACTTACCCCGATTATGCCGAGCATGACGAAAGGAATCAATTCAAAGAATATCCAAGGTTTATTATATTCTACATAAAATAATACTGAATGCTCATTTCCGAATGGATTTATGGAACGTAGGACAAAAGCGGCTATCAAAGCACAGAAGAACGATCGCCATAAAGTTTTTAATGGAAAATAATAGCTGACCTAAAATAAGTATATAAAATTTCTATAGCATAATTTTAAAACATGCTGCAGTTATATTTTTTTTTCATTCTAAACTCTAAATTCATTTGAAGAATATTAACATATAATTAAAAATTTTACTCTATATACATATTTTTCTAGAATATTCCTAGCCTTGATAAAATGCTGAAAACTGCTCTTTAAAATACGAGATTATCATGTTATTTATTCTTCAAAATAATACCTCTTCTAAGCTAAACAGAACACCGCCGATCGGGGCTCCAAAAGCAACGGAAACTCCTGCCGCGGCCGCGGCAGATAAGATTTCTCTCTTTTTTGCTTCATTCCTGCCATATTTCGGGAATAGATAAGAAAATATATTTCCTATACAGCATGCAATATGGACCATGGGACCTTCCTTTCCCAAACTCAAACCCGCCGATACGGAAAGTATCAGGCCAACTGACTTAATAATCAGTGTCCATTTACCGAGATATCCGCGGATAATAAAGCCACTCAAAATTGTCTTTATCTGAAAAAAATATACATATATGATTAGAATGTAAAAGTAAAAAAATAACATATTAATTTATTAAATTATATATATTATGCTTATTATGCTGTATTATCAGATTATGTATTTATAATATTTTAAAAAAAGAAAAATTTTGGTAAATTTACCTCAGGTATTCCAGAGCCGCAAGCATAAGGAGCAAACATTCGCACTAGAGATGCAGAAAGTGCAGCAAATAGAAGTGCCCATGCTGTATAAAATAAATATGATATTGTATAAGGCCCTGCACCCTCTTTTGACTGATTGAATAGCTCGGGCCATGTACACCACTATAAAAAAGATATTACATTAGATATTACACCAGACAGGAAAATAATTTAACATACACAGCTTTCGGAATTGTAATAAATTTGTGGTTAAAATTACAGAAAAACATGTATTTACTTGTGAACAATTTCCACCGTCAAATGTAGTCTCGTTATAGCTCCAACAACATTGCTCTTTATTTAACCAGAAAGCTTGTGGACAGATACCGAATTTGAGATCTGTCATCCAGGAAGCTCCAATATCTATAACACCAGCCGCCACTCCCGTAAAAAGCCCGACTAGTAAAACGCACAGCCATCCCGACCATGCGTCGTGAGCTCCTTTTATTAAACCCCAAATAGAATCGTGTTTCTTCTTCACGATATAACGGTGTCGCATTCGATCTCGCGCGATATCCCGTTGCCAATCGATAGTATGAAAGTCATCATACTGCCCGATGCCAGGTATGTCATCAGAGTCAACTGAAACTAATAAAATTTAAAAAATTTCATAATATAAAATATTTTATAACATATTTAACATCACTATTGATGTATATGTATAAAAAGATTTAATATATATAGGGTATCTCGGACTATCCACACCACTCATTTAAAAACGAGGGAAATGATTTTTATTAAGAATATGGTTTCGATAAATAAATGGGTTACAACAATCAATATCAAATGGTAATATTTTCAATTTTCGGTTTCAAGTGGAAATGGACTATTCAGAGCGAAAGTCGATTTTTCAAATGGAACACTATTGTGTTCCATTTGCAATATTTTTTATTGCAAATTTGAATTTTACACAAAACAAACTTGATGAAACTTTTGCATTAATCATTTTTTCGAAAAATGTTAGATGTAATAGTTGAAATAAGATCTTAAAAACAAAAAAAAATGTTTTAGTGTATATCTTCTAAATAGTTTAGTATTTATCTTCTTCCGTCTAATCTTCTATTTTACTTATACT